CCTGTAGTTTTAAACTACACTGAGGCTCTAGAATTGTCTTCTCCTGCCCATATACATCACAGATAATTGCCATGTATTGCTACATGCTGGTTACATGACATCTGGCTGCTGTATGTGTCACTTCTGAGACTGGCATAGCCCAAGCACAAAGCAATTTGCCAGTCTAATTTCTTTTCTCCAGTCTGACAAGCCCTTCATGTTCAAAATTGGAGCAAGTTGTATTATAGGATTTATTTGTTTATAATTTGAAATGTGCTGAATGTTTCAGCAGAACTTTGCTAGCAGAGAACAAAGGTTTTTCCCTGACCCACGGGTCAGCTGAGTAATTCACAGCTAAAACCACTGATCCACTGCAGAACCTGAGTGTCCAAGTCACTGTTAGCTCTCAAGAAAGAAAGTGCTGAAAGAGGAATCATTTATAAATCTGTGCAAATCTCAGCAGTTTTGGCTTGCAAGTTCATGGACACCTTTTCTTTGTTTCAGAGTGCATGAGTCACCCCCCTTGAGTTAACTCGAAATGAAACTGCTGAATTTCATTTAGTTCCACATCAAAATCAGACCATGTCTTGCTTCAAATATTTGAAGACCTTTTGATGATCTTGGGTTCATTGTTGAGGCTTTAAAAAGTACAAAAATAGATAAGTTTTTGTGAGGTTTTGGTTTTCCATGAAGCTCTTGATTAAAGCACTAATAATTTATAGTATGCATATGTGTGTGTGTATAATATGAATATACTAGCAGGAGTCACCCGGTGTTGCTCGGGAAAGTGGAGGAACAAAATTTAGAAAAACAGTAATCCATTATCATTTTTTGAATGGTAGAAAAGTTGCACTGAGTTCTATTAAAATATATTTTAAAAAGTATAAAACAACCAATTTTACATGTTATCATCAAAAACTGTATTGTAAACTATATTTTTTCATTATTCTTAACAAATATGTACAAATTTTTTCCACTTCCAACTCTTGAACACGCAACATAGAGTTGTCCATGTGAAAAGCAAGATGTCTCCAAATCAAATCCAACTACTTTAAGTGACTGTCCTTGCGTTGTCAGTATACGTTATTGAAATATAAGTTGACAGTTGAAATAACTGAGGTGAGGAGCCTTAGGGGAGGGAGCGGGAAGGGAGCCACGTGCCTGCCGCCAGTGCCCAAGCCCGCCCTTCGCTTCCTTGTCTCTCTGTCGGCCTTCGTGAGTGACTGGCCCCGCTGCTTCCCCTGGGAAGCCACTTCTCCCCACACTGCCAAGCTCCATGCAGCCCTGGGGAGAGGCATTGGTCTCTCATCTCTTCCCTCACACAGTCCCTTAAAACCTTCTCCTGGATGACAGGTTTATCCCTCTGCTGGCCTTAGTAACCTCCTGGATAAAAGGTTATCCCATGCAAAGTTTGGTTGCGGTAGCTCTTATAGTGTCCAAGTTATTAGCAAACAAACATTCTCCTTTATGTATTAGATATGCAATATGTAAATCCTGCCCAGCTGGTATGGTCCATTGATTGGAGTTCAAGAGTCAGGAGGACATCTAGGTCCTAATCCTTGTCTTTATATTTTTGCTGTCAGAACAAATCACATCACTCAAAACCCAATGAAGCTCACAACTCATTGGAGGAGTGTAAATTCTTACTGACCTCAGAGGGTGTTATGGAAGGAGTCACCAGATGGTGCTGTTAGATATGGTCTGGCTACTCTTTTAACTCTTCATCGTCTGTGAAAACAGGCTTGCATTGTTCTTGAGTTTGTGATGTGGTTTTGGGTGGGGAGGGAGATATAGCAAACAGCCTAGGATATTTTCTTTTTGCCCTAATCTCTCTAACTTGTCAAGTAGTTCCCTTTATACTGGGTATTGTTGTTTTGTCTGAGACTCCGGAAAGGGGATTGCCTAGTGTGTATGGAGACAAGCTTCATAGAGGGTAGGCTGACTTGGAACACATCTTTTGCTAACATATTATAGAGTACGTACATGTCTGTCTCCCTTAGCATAGGTACAAACAGCTGTGTAGACTGTAAGGCACAGCTTACGTGAGTAAAGATGCCTGAAAGAAAGGTGGGGGACTGTATGTGAGTATGTGCCCTACATGGCTCTCTAACTTGCCCAAACCATACTTCTCTGTCTTCACTACCTCCTTACAGCTGGGGGCTTTTCCTGTGGCACTGAAGGACTTCATCAGCTTTCCCCTCCACCATACCCTTTCACTGGCAACGGTAGCTACATGCTGTAGAGTGAAGGCATCCAGCCTTTTGCAGTGGTGTGGAGTGTAAATGTAGCCTAAGACTATACTGAGTCTTCATGTCACTGACCTCCAGTCAATTTATAAGGCCTTGATATCTGCTATCACTCAGCAGAGAAGCAGCCGTATGTTTGAGTTTCCTGTATCCCTTGCAAAAAAGATCAGTTTATTTCTATACCTCTGACTAGAGCTGATGGGAGCGGGGGGAGGGAGGACGGCACAATATTTTTTTCTAAAAATGGTATCATGGTTTCCATTTTCTAGAATTTAACATGGACCCACTATTCATTTTATTGAAACCATTATCAAAATAATTAGTGAACATTTTCTTTATTGTTAACCTTTCCTAGATTTTGTCAAACTAAAATGTTTAGTAACAGCACTGAAAATCACCAAAAAATAACTTATCAGCAGTTGAGCTTTTTTATTTTTCAACCAAAAATGAACTTTTAGTTAATGTTTTTAATCAACTCTAGAGGTGATTCATCAAGAGGCAGAGGAGAGATTGTGGAAACCATTGATTGAACTGATATAACTGCTATGAATTTTGTACAACTTGTAGCTGGCATGTGATTCCTTACCTATGCTTTGTGTGGACTCTATTTTCTTCTCTACAGCTTTGATGTGATTGTACATGCAAATGTATAAGTTAGCTCAAAATTTGTTTTTAGAAGTACATGCAGGCAACTCCAATTTAGGAATGTCTACTTCCATTGACCTGAGTGTGAACTATGTACAAGTATTCTGAAAGCAGACTTGACCCTATGTGTGCAGTATTTCTCTTGGAGAGCAGTAAAACTATCGTTGGAATATGATGATGTAATTATAGGGTGTCTCTTTCTCCTGGAGGGTAAAGGAAATGTATTTAGCTCCCATTATTGCAAAGTCAAGCAATTAAATATTAGGAAATGCCAGAATTAAAGTTGGCGTTACAACTTTAATTCTGTCTCCATTATGATATAGCCTATTAATCACAAGATCACATGCTGTCTTTAATACAGGACTCCTGTGATAGTCTGTATCCTTGTATTCACCCCTTACATGTTATTAATGAAGATCTTTGTGCAAGTATGGATTGTGAGTTATCATTTGAAAACTGATCATTCACTAGTCAAGATTATCCTGATAAAATACAGGTAGTAACACTGAGCATAAAGTTATATGGTTGCGCTGTATGGTGTCATTAAGACATATTCTAAGGCTTTGTTTAAACTGAGTTGAAAGCACTGTGACAGCAGTGCTTTAACATGGGTGTCTGGTTATGGCACCAGTGCTGGGAGAGAGATCTTCATAAGGTACTTCATAAGGCGAGTAGCTAACAGCACTGGGATCCTGTTTACACTAGTACCTTACAGCTCTAGAACTTGCTGCACTTGGGGGAGGGGTGTTTTCCATACCCATAAGTGAGAACATTACAGTGGCAGTAAAGCAACGCTGGAGACAAGCCACAAACCTGGAGAGTGGTAAAACAGGTTTCTCAAAGACAAAAGATAAGCTGAAACAAAAACCAGGACTATGTAGCACTTTAAAGACTAACAAGATGGTTTATTAGGTGATGAGCTTTCATGGGCCAGACCCACTTTCTCAGATTTGGAAGTGGGTCTGGCCCACGAAAGCTCATCACCTAATAAACCATCTTGTTAGTCTAGTCTAGCTGAAACAAAAAAACAGGACTATGTAGCACTTTAAAGACTAACACAGCTACATCTCTATTACTAAAGATAAGCTGACACTTCAGCCAGGTATAAAGAGGCTAAATGGTCTATGACATGCTTAACTTGCTATTCATTAGCAGGAGAAGGGACATGGTGAAAAATCTGCATTTTAAAAAAAAAAACCAGCAGCTTGGGATTCCCATCCATACAGACTTTTTGTTTTCTGAACTTCAGCTGGAGGAGCCTCTCAAGGAAGGGAAAGAACTGTAAGAAGAGAGGGGAGGTACTTCAAATCATTCTGTAGTGGGGCGGCTGCCCTACTCTAGTTGGAAGAGGTTAAAACAGGCTGGTGTAAGTCTTATCCAATCAGGGAGATGCTTGTAAGAAACCAATCAGATGACAGCTTCCTAGGGCAGCCCCATTTATAAGGAGCTGCTCAGCAGAGCAGTAAGATGTTGGATGGGTGCAGGACTAGTTCCTTGAAAGAAAGCACCCTGGATAAAGCAGTGCTGGGCCAGAGGAGCTAGAAGGGAGGCTCTGGCCTGATACCTCCCAGGGTGAGTCCTAGATGCAAGAGGTCATGGGTAAATGGCCCAGGGAGTGAGAGGCAGTAGAGGGGGGAGAGGAGGGCAGCACAAGGGTTCCTCTAGCGCGTTCCTGGGTCAGAATCCAGACTAGTGGTTTGGCTTGGCCCCTGCCTTCCTCTTTGCTCTGCACCTAGCCACACTGAGGGAGTGGTCTTTATGGACTGTGACTTGCCTCTGAGGTGAGGGGCTAGACTGGGGTGCCTGTTGGCCATGGTGGCAGAGGGTGAAACTGAGGACTGATGATTCTCCCCCCCTCCTGTCCCCGCCCTGCAAGTGGACATGAAAGATTGGTTTAGTGGGTACAGCTGGGATGTAGGGCAGTGTCCTGAAGAAGATGACGTGGCCTCAAGAACAATGTGAGGCAAACAGAGATAGCAGACCAGTGGAGCGATGACGGATGAGATACCACCCAGAAGAGGATGACCTATAAAGTTCAGAGCTAATTCTATCAGGACCAGCAGGAGGCACCTGTGCAGGGGAGTCCAACCCTGTTACACATCCTCCCTCTCTTTCTGCCCACAGTACTCACAACACTGAAGAACAAAGGAATCAGCATTGGACTGGGGAGGAATCCTAAATGAAAGAAGTTCAAGCTAGCAGGATTGCCAGAACATGTGGTAAGAGGGACCTTTCTTTGATTTCACTCTAGCTTGTTAAAGTCAGCATTAGTTGCATTTTACTTTTATTTTCCTTGTAACCCATTCTGACTTGTATGCCTCATTACTCTTGTTCATTTAAAATCTATCCTTTTGTAAATAATGAACTTTTTTATTGTTTTAGCTATACCGCATGGTTGCACTGCAGTGTTTGGGAAACTCCATTTGGGTAGTACATATCTTTTTCTATTAATGTATATGAGCTTGTATTGTCCAGGAGAGAGCTGGGCTGTGTAATAGATACATTTCTAGGGAAAGTCTGTGACTGGGAGATTGCTGGTGTTGCTTCGTAGTGTAATTCAAGAATGGCTGGCTGCAGCACTCATGCAATATGACTTGGAGTAACTTACATACTGGAAGTTCTATGAGAGCAGACCAGGCATGGCTCCTTTAATGAGAAATTATTCAATATTTTATTTTATTTTATTTTTTCCTTCCTGTTCAATGTGTGTGTCTGTTTACTACATTATTCATACCCAGCTCTGAAAGAAGAATTATCAGTTTCCTCATAGTCTTATTTATGGCACTCATCACTGTAGAATCTGAATGCCTCACAAAAATTCATTTATATGAGGGGAGAGAACATTACAGGGTGAACCTCTCTAGTATAGCATTCTCTGGTCCGGCAACATCCATGCTCCAGCATGATTTTAATTAACTGGATGTCCACTTACCATGGGTGTGGCCATTTTCCAATGTCCCATAAAGTTTGTTTACAGCCACCAGCCCTGGCTCTCAGGATTCTCTGCTGTTATTTAACTCTTAATTTATCCCTAAATGTCTTCTAAAAGCCTGGTAAGCAGTGGAAGTGTTGGTAATGCTGTTAGACAATATTGACCTCCCATGGTCTCGCATATTCTTTGGTTCAGCACTGGGTAAGTCCCGAGGGTGCCGGACTAAGGAGGTTCAACCTGTATTTTCATTTTATTTTATAGATGGGGAACTGAGGCGATGTAAAAAGTTTCCACTAATTTGGGGTGTCCGATTTGACCTATCTAGGACCCAGTTTACTCAGCACTGTGTAGCACTTTATATATTCAAGCACAGCTCCCACAGACTTCAGTGGCAGCTGTGAATGCTCAACATTTCTGCATATCAGACCCCAATGGGGCACAAAGTCAGGCACTCAGAAAATGAGGAGTGCACAATTAGTGACCACCTGTGAAAAAAATGTGTTTTAAGTAACTTGCTTAGAATCCTATAGGATCTCTTTGGCAGAGGCAGTGATAGCATCCTCCTCTCCAGTGCTGTACTCAACTGCCTTAACTAGCCTTTCTCTTTCTGCATTTGCTGGCTTCATTTACTACGCACTTGTGAGCTTCTGCAACAAATGAGTCACAGATCCTACATATAACTGCTTCCATCACTACTCACTCCTGATTTTTTCCCAGAGCAGGTCCATTCTGTGCACTAAATGAGGCAGCAGTCCTGTAATAAACATTGCATATGATAATGTAATTAAAGATTGTATCACAATGCATATACACAACAGTTGCAAAGCCCCTTCTAATGCTGGCCTTTAAGGGCTTTGTACCCTTAATCATACTCTCTTAATGTATTTTTTCTCTGTGTAATTTCCTAGGTTTTTAGAAAAGCAAGCTGAAAATAACCTAGAAAATGTAATCACATGGTATCACACTGATATGCGCAGGGACCATTAGCAGGGTTGGATTGTTAGATCTACCACATACGCCTCTGCTACTTGAGCTAACAGAAGAACTACAACTAGCACTAGAGGGGTTGGGACAATTTGCCAATGAGTTTCACAAATATTTGCTGTCAGCAGAGGAATGGTGAGACTCAGGCATCTTATGTTCTATTCCAGGTTCAGACTCTTCTGCCCTGACTCTGACCCTCACACTACGCCATCTTGACTTGGCTCCTTCTGCCCCTTGTCTTCCAACCTGTTGTAGGATTAGTCCTATCTCTTCCTCATGCCTCTCTCTTCACTCTAGTCACAGTCCCATTTTCCTCCCTACTCAGTCCTTGTCTCCAGTCTTCAGGTTTTTCTTCCCAGTCCTGGGTTCCATACACAGCCAGATACATTTTCTTCTGCCTTGTCCTCTTCCCCCAGCTCTCCTGTCACAGCTTGCCTCTTTTTTCACCTCTCTCTCCACCAACCAGCATGCAGTTCCAGTCTTCTCCGCAACAAGACCCTCCCTCTTCCCTCTTTTATCCCTCTGCATTTGACTCAGGCAGCTTCAACCTTCATACTGTCTGAGAAAGTGGAAGGGAGGTTTAGACTGAGTGCACAGAACAGAAAAACTCCCTGTGCTTTCAGTTCCACTGCCCAGCCCTGGCCTGGCCTGGCCTGCAGCAGCATGGAGCAGCAGTTGCAGAGAAAGCCCTTTTCAGCCCAGGACTTGACCATGCTGTAAAGACTTAGCAAGTTAGCATCTGTAAACTGTCATTTTTCAAAGGCTTATAATTTGGACAAATTTGGGCAGCTGTATATGGCCAAAATGTATTTTTCAGTAGCCTTATTTCCAGGAACAAGTGAACTATTTAGAGTGAACATTTCCTAATAAATAAATAAATGATGCTAAGGCAGAGAACTGGAATGGAAAATTTTGGCTCAAATTACAAATGTATAAGCTACCTGGAAATAGCAGAGGCAGTCTGGTATCCTTGTCTTATAAATCTAACTATAACAAATATGTGATTTATCTGAACTTTAGACCTCTCTCTGTGGGAGATTTAGATTGTGTTTAATTGTTTTGGATAAAGATGGGAGTTAATTATATTCCAGTTCTGGCTCCCTGTCTGTACTAACAAGCTGACTGTAATTCCTTCAGGCCTTTTGCACAATTGTTCTGCAGCTTTTTCATTCACATTTAAGGGAGCTTTTCTTTCCTGCACCACCTCTCCTTTCAATGCCACTGTTTCTCAGTATACACGTTTTATTTTGTTTTATCAGGGAAAGGGATGCTTTGGGGACTTAATTCATGGGCCCTTTCATTTCAGCCTGACATTTTTTGAGTAGAAGAACTCAAAACCTGGACAATTTTTGGTATATCTACATACCCACTGATATTGTACAAGCTGTCTTAGCTCTCTCAGGATTCCTAAGGTATCCATCGCTGTGATAGCTACATGCTGGATTGATCTGATGATAGCATGGTTATTAATATTTGGATCACTTCCTATCCAGTAACAGCACATTTTCAGGACAGGTGAAATCAGAGCAACTGAAAAACAAATCTCTACAGCTATCTGTGCCTCAGAGACAAATATAGTCTGTATCTCCAGAGACATCCCGCATTCCTCTTGCTGCCATTCTTTGTAAAACGGAGCCTTCATCACACATACTATGACAATGTGTATCTTCCCCTTGAGCCTCCTTCCAGACATCAGGGCTTGGGTCATCTTGTTGCCCAAGAGACCTTATCAGCTTGACATTGCTTTAGTTGGAGAACAGCTATATGGAAATGAGCTGGAATGCAGCATGCGGTCTTAAAATGGTTTTAAATTCTGTCATTATCACAGTTTAACATGAGTTTGGGATCCTTTAATTACTCCCTGGAGGGAAAGAAGTGCTGAACTGAGTAGATTGAGGCCTTCCACTAAACCTGACACCTCTCCATATTCTAAACATGGATATTAGTTCTGCCATCAACTTTAGCAACATAAGTTTCAGTTTATTGACTTTCTGGGGTCAGTGGAAGTTGCGGGTGCTCAGCAACTCCAAGGCCAGGCCCACAGTGGGTCATATTACTCACAGGTCTGATTCCACTGTAGTCAATAGACGTCTGGATTGGAACTGGCAGTGACTTTTGCATTTCTAACCTTTCCACTTGGTTAGAGACAAAGTATCATTTTCTTGTCACCAACCCTGCTAGTGCTGTACACAGTGAGTAATCTCATTGATTACAGTGGTGCTAATCACAGTGCACAAAGATAGATATGGGTGTAAGCCTTTGCAGGAGTCAGTGCCTTAGACTGTATTCTTTAAATCACTCTTTACTTGCTTCTGTTTTTATTCTGATCTAGTAAAAAGACAGTTTATCCTTTATCACTAATGAAAAACTTTTTCCAACATTGCTCAGGCCTTAATTCAATTAATATTTTTTTCATTTAAATCATTTCTGGGGTGGGGTTGGGGATAAGAGGATCAGTATACAAGCTGCCCAAGGGAGAGAGGGCACCCCCAGGCCTCTCCATAGCTGCTGCAGCTCCAGCGGGTACAGCTGGGGGAGGGGTGCATGTTTCCTGGCTGGGGCAGGTCCAGGTTCATCTACCCCCCTGTGCTCCCCAGCCAGAGTGAGGAATGCAGCAAACTGTGCACTTTCCGTCCACCCTCCCCCACCCCCCGGAACAGAGAAGAGCCAGAAATTGTTCCCATATGAATTGAAGGTTGCGAAATTTCAGCACTCCCGGCCCTCCCTAAAGGGTGTGTGGAGCGGGGGTGAGGGTGGGAGGCTTGGTGCTGGGGCAGTCCCGGCAGAGGCACCCCTTTCAGCTGCCTGGTGATTGTCTCTTTTCTGTGTGGTTTTATGAGAAGCAATCCCATTCCAGGCATAGCCCATTTTCCTGGCACAACCAAACCCTGACCTTGCTTTAAGTAATGAAAACAGGAAGCTGTATGCCGAATTTTGTGGTCATAGCTCTTACTGTTTAGGAGGAGCTCTTGAACAGACAGACACATTCTCTCAAATATATAGTAGATTCCTGAGGTGTCCAATTCTCTCACACTCCAGTACCTTAATTTTTCTACAACATCCCTTTCTTCATCTCTTTTTTCCCTTTTTATTACGGAAAAAAATGTGAATCCCATTTAAAAAAAAACATGTATTTTCTGAGTAGGTGCTTGTCTTTGAAGCATCTGTAATCTATCAATGGCAACATGGTCTAGCACAGTGTTTTTCTGCCTTCCTAAACTGTGTCAGGGAGATCTCAGGGCTTGGCATTGGTCCAAGGAGCAGCTGTTGAGAAACATTGCTCTAGCAGATATGGCACCGGGC